CTTTTTTATTTCTTGTATTGCTAAAATAACGCTAACTGTCTCTCCCCATAAAAATGTGTATATTACTTTAGTTCTAATCATGTTTATGCAGGATTTCATTCTGCCTTTATCACCATTTTTTTTTTTTTTTTTTTTTGTCAGGCATATGTCAAATCTCTGCGTTAGATGACTTTCTATTTCCAGGAAAGCCTTCCAGGTACAACTTATTTACTTGTTTTAACCTCTGTTATGCTTAGCAGCAGCATTTCTGGAATCAGAAATGAGTTGAAACAAAAATAGAGTAAATTTGCCTCAGCTTGACTTCCTTATAAGCAGCCTAAAGCTAGTTTAGGACCTCATTGAATGCTTATTTAAATATTGGCTAAATACAAGGGGGCTTTCATGGAAACAAATTCAGCTTTTTTGCTGTATATATTATCTTGTGCTGTGTTCACACTGTGTGTGCTGGGAGATGTGGTACATGTATGTTGTTTCTCATGAGCCAATTTTCACGCTCCTTAGGACCTTCAGAAGGTAACGYAGGAGATGCAGGCAGGGAGCTTCAGCTCTGTGATTCTATTGCTTAGCCTGATTTCATTGCTTTATATATTTCCACTTACATGGTCTTGGCACGTCCTATCACTTCTACTATCTTCTACAGCTGAGGTCTTGGATTTTAATGCTAAATCCTAGATGTTTTGTGGCGTGAGAAGAGTGCATCTCCCTGCTATAGTTGGTGAGCGGAGTTGCTCAGGTTATAATTCTTATGGCAGAGTTATTCTACAGCATCCTTTGCTTTGGGGCTCGTGATAGACCTGATCTGTGCCTGATTTCTGCTTGATCTGAGAGACTTTTACTGAGTTATGACTGGYCACTTATTTCTGTTAGGCCTCTTAATTTAAATAGTAGTGATAGGTGATATTTTCCCAGTGAGTAGTAGGGCCATATAGGTGAATTTCTGAAATATAAAAAAAGAAGAAAGGGCTTGTGCTCCTTGCTTCCAGTAGAAGAGACATGGGTCAACAGCACCTCTTCGCTTTTCTCATTCTTGAATACATGCTGCCTTTAAGTRGTCGCTCAGTCCTGCTTACGTGGGGGGCTTTTTTTTTTTAATATGGACATTTGCACATAAGAAATGAGAAGATTTTTTCACAAACCTCCCGAGAATAGGCCCTGGTCACAGGCACAGTGGCTTCCTTCCAGTGGCATGGGACGGATTCAGCATCTTAGTTCCCTGAACTGTTTGGCCCTGGAGTGTATTTTTAGTTTAAGGCCAGTCCTCAGCTCTTAGTTGTGATGGAGTCAGGTTTGCCCTTTTGCCTAATGTAAACCTGTCTGTATTGGAGTAAGTTGGCAGCAATAATTGCTATTCACTTCTGTAGGAAATTGTTTTGTGTTTAATGGAGATATTGCCTCCTTAAAGGAGAACTATCAGTTGTAATTCATACATTAGGTATTACATGTTGGGTATTGTGAATTAGATAATTCATAAATAAGAGAAACTACTTGCTTAGATCTAAGGAAAAATCTCTTTGGAGAGAGTTATCTTCAAAGAAAAGAAAAAAGAATCCCTTGCTGCCGTTGTGGTATTTTGACATCTCCCCGTGTCCTTTACTGAATTTTGCTGGTGTCAGAATTTGGGGCTATGGATTTTGAAGGCAGTGTGAGCCTGACCAGGGGCCCATCCTCACTGGGTGTCATTTGAGCTGTTTGCTGCATTATTTCTGGGAGACCAGAGGTCCTCTCTCCCCACAGAAACATCTTGCCCTGGCTGTGCATGGGCAGCAAGACCTTCCCCTATTTTTCTGCAAGAGAGAGACTGAAACAAGATGGAACAAATCCAAGAGCAAAGCGGCCCAGTCCTACGAGCCTACACGTGCTGCTGTGCGTGGCCAGAGGGACCTGTGGGCTGGGCCGTGGGCCCTGCAGGGCGATTCGTGGGCCCTGTGGGGCAGTTTGTGGTCCCTGCAGGAGCGTTTCGGCCCCGCGGGTGGGAGCGAGCTGGGCCGCGCTCCGGGCRCCCCAGGGCAGCGTCAAGGCCGCCYGCGTTAGCAGGGCTTCAGTCCGTGCCCGTTCCCTGCTCTGCTGCACACCCTGCGCGCCTTAGGCCCGGCGTTAGGCCCGACCTTAAAGCTCACGCAGGTGTTCCTGTGGAGGAAGAGAAGCAGCCCTGGCTTTCCCCAGAATCCCAGCCTGGGTAGCGRAGAGGCTCTACCTGACAGGCCGGAGGCATCACCTTCCCAGCGAATGCACCGTAGCTGTTGGTGTGGTCCCATTGAGTCCTTTTACACTGCCATTTTCTCTGTGCCTCTCTATTATGGTGTTTTATGAGGAATTATTACAGTACAGTATTTCCTTTCCGTGGTGCCACATAGAGTGGTTTTGAGGGCTCCGTTTTTGTTATGTGCCTTGGTTTGTGGGTCTCCGTGTGGTGCCCTTTGCCTGTCGCTGCTCTGTGCTTTGTGTCTTACGGCCATGCTGTGACTGTGCACGAGGGGCATTTCCAGAGCACAGTGCACAGAGCGGGCAGTAGGGTSTCCCGTATTTAAGATGCAGTTTTGGAATCCAAAATTTGCTAAGAAAATGATTCCATGTAGTTTTCAGGGTAGTTGCGCGKTTGAGGGATAAGGTACCAAGAGCTTGCTTTGTTTGCTAATCCTTGTTCATGTATTAAAAATCGATAATCCAGTAAGTTGTTTTTTTTAATACTGGGTTTTTTTGTCACCACATGGCCATCCTTGTTGTAGCTTTAGCAGTAGAAGGATCGCTAGGAACAGGAATGTGGGTAGGAGTCACCATCTTGGTGGAGAGTTAGGAGTGGCAGACTTGGAGGGGTCGGGGAGCAGAGGTTTCTTCCCAAGAGATGGAGGTCTTGAACCAGACACATCTTATTTAAAGAACCAAGTATTTAATAGTCTTGTCACTGTTCAGATTAGCATTCCAAATTGCTTTCAGTAGAAATGCAAATTGCCTTCGTAATTTCTATCCTAAGAAAAGCACATAATTGAAAATGGATTTGTTACTTTGAGGTGCTTCTGTGAATCTCCTTAAGAGGATACGTGCTCATCTGGAGGAGCAGCTTGGTTCGTTTGCTGAGTGACAGTGTGGGAAGACAGGGTTTGTGCTGCTCATGGTCCAGCCTCGTGTGAGAACTGAAAATACAGAAAGCCCCCAAGCCCCATTTCGTTTCCTGTGTTGTGCAGGGCAGCAAAACCAAACCTAACCCATCATCTCCGTACTGGTCTTGCAGTAAGTGTTAATTAGTTTATGAATACTTCATGATCTCTTAACAGTCTTTTCCCTTCTTTTCCCTCCTTCCACTGACTGATACTGAGGTCCCTTTTTGCATTCCTTGTTCTCAGGCTGTATCTATCTGCTAGTGACTGACTGACTGCTGTAATCCAGGAATCCTAAACTTGTCATCACCAGTGACATCCACAGCCAAAGCTTTGAATGAGAATGTAGCCGTGTTTAGATGTTTGCACCAGATTTCACCCTAAAGCGGGGTCTTTTGATCCCGTCTGCAGGGGTTACCATYTAGAGGCAGAACACAAATGTAGTTGCAAGGGCTCTGCCCTGGTRTCTAAAGAGAGGAGAGGTGTGGAAATCTAAGGTGCAGGTACCTTCCCAGYAGCTGCTGCTGGTTTGGAAGCTTCTTCTGTGGCAGCTGTGAGGCTAACRGTGTCTCGGGTGGGGAGGAGAAGGGAGGATAACGTCTCGGAGCTTTTAGTGGAGGTAAGTAGCCAGTCTCTGGGTGTTGTGAAGAGCRTAACAGCCCTTTTTAAAGCAACTCGGAGAACAAAAACACGATGTAAGGAAATTGGGTGGCACATGACTATTATTTTTATGGCAAAGTTCAAGAAACTTTATATTTCATTCCATTATTTAGTGTTAATAGTTAACAAGGCTTCTTACTTATCTAATGCGCTTCATGTTTCTGCCTGTTTTATTTCTAGCATATTATCAAGTTTCACCGTGCCTCAAAAGCAAATAAAAAGCCCATGCAGTTGCCAAGATCTATGGTTAAATCACTCCTTTACCAGATCCTTGATGGAATCCATTACCTCCATGCAAACTGGGTGCTTCATCGAGATCTGGTAAGTGTTACATATTTTACCTGGTTAAGAAAGCTTTGCATACATAGTCATGGGTAGGAGAAGAAAAGTCCCTATTAGCAATCTGGCGTATCGATCTGYACAGCTCTTCCTGTTATTGTTGTGGGAGACCAAAAGCATGAAAACAAACTATGTTTTCACGTTGGTTTTTATCTGAGTCATCTGAACTAAGACAATGACACTACATCCGCTAAAAGGATTGCAGATACCAGTATCCAAAAGCAGTGTGTGAGCCAGCTGATGGATGTTAAACGTTCTTCTAAGCTTGTGCACTGCCTTGAAAAGGCTCTCAATTAGGGAAGTGATTGATACCCTTGTACATTCTTTGTTTTATGTGCACCTTATCATAAAAGCTAGTGAAAGAGGAGTTTTTTCACATAGTGTTTCTTTTCCGTGCGGTTTTTTCCTGACCGTGGGAAGAGAACTATGAAGGAGCTGTCATCTTTGAAATTTCTMATGACCTAAAATGGCTCTTTAAGTTGATTGCTGATTACAAGGGCAGCCAAATGCCTTGTTTTAGTTACCCTTTACTCTCTCAAAGTTTCCCACCAGTCCTAATACATCAGTGGAGGGCACTGGTGGTGGCACAAAGAGGAATGCCCATGTAGGTGCAGTGCTGCCTGCCACTTGCATTGTAACTAGAATTTGGGGCTTGAGAAAAACGAGAGAATGTTTTATGCCAGAATCCGTTCTCACTGTTAACACTGCATTGGTGGAATAGCATCAGTAGTAGGAAATGCAAGAAATGTAGCCTAATCTGCATATAAAACCACTGCCTGTYCTGCATATTTTCCATAGTTGCTCTGGTAGGTCAGAAGAACAGTGGGGTTTTGCAACTYGAACATAAATCATTCCTTTTTGGTTATGAAGCAAATGTATTCCTAAAAGATGGATTTTTTCTCTCTCTCTCTCTCTTTTTTTCCCTCTTTTTACCAATATCTGTTAACAGTGGCCATAAGTATGGTTCACGTTTTGGATTGAAATGTTTTTAGCACATTTCTTGTTTACTGTTAATTTTACGGTTAAATCCCAGGTGTTCCTTCCAGGGGAGTAGAAGGGCTTTAGAAGAACAGCTTCAGAACAGCTGTTTCATGAGCAAAGCAGGAAGCAAATACAACACTGATTTTTAATGCTACAATTCTCCCTTTCCTAAAGAGACCGCYGTTGTGTCTGCAGCCTGTTGAGATACAATTAGATAACGGTCTAAAAAAGAACACCTTAAAAGTCCATGTACACCTAAAGGAAGTTGTATGTGTTAGAATTATGAAATATATAGCCTTTAAATGCCATATATGAACTTGATGCCTTGATAGGAAATACAAGATGGTATCTGGGGTAGTAATAACAAATACCCTGGGGAATTTCTTTAAAGGGTTGCTATTTGCAGTCCACAACACCAGGTGTTTTGCATGACCAGTGCTGCTAATTTACAGGAGGCCAAATCTGTTGTTGGTGTGTTGCAACRAAGCTGGTGCCTAATGCCTTTTCTCTTGGAGCTTTAAGCAGTAATGATTGTTTTTATGAAAAGAAGGACTGTGTTTTTTTTATCACAGGAATGATGATGCTTGACTGAGTTTACCATAATTGAGAAGGGAGAAGAAGAGAAAATTTTGAAACCAATTGTGTTCTTGTTATTATGAATACATTTTTAAACTAATGAATTCTTGGACACCTCAGTGATAGAAATGAAGACTCTTGAAAATTGATGTACATGGTAATTTAAAGGCACACTCAGCATCTCTTGCCTTTTGTCAAAATCACACTGGATCTCTGAAGAATTCAAGAATTTCAAATTGTATCTTGGTGATACAAATGTCAGCTCTGCTCTTGAAGTTAGAAGTTAGTATAATATTCTAATAACTCACTTAGATTTTAAGTTGACCAAGATGTATGTCTAGCTCTTATTCCCATTCTCATATTGGTGGTTTTTAGTTCTAAAAATGGTACCTCAGGCACCACTTCCCTGGAATCTGTTTCTGGCATAACACATAAATACTAACCTTTCGGTGTCTTTGTAATACTGTGAGTTGTTTTGTCTGGTGCTTTTTTTTTTTTTTCCTTATTTGGTTAAGTTTATATTCTGTGGAAAAATATTTTTGTGTTTTATGCAAACCAGTATTTTGCATGGAGACACCTTGTACTCTGCTACCTTAATATAGCCCTTTTCTTAGTATTTTTAGCATGCAATTGGATGTCAACCAAAGACTGCAACATCCATAAATGTCAAGTTACGGTCATTTCATTGTGTGTTCTTTTTTTTTTTTCATAGGTTCTCTAGGAATATTTACCACAGTATTAGTAAAATTCTTCTCAGTGAGCTGTGGAATTGATCTTTTGAATGTATTCAATAAAAATGCCAATAATTAAAGCAGAAATTCCACCAGAAATGGTGGAATAGCATCAGTAGTTAAATAAGTTACCCTTTATTACCCAATAATTAAAGCTGAAATATGAGAAATAAAGGATTTGCTGGGTACTATTTGCTGAAGTATCTGAGAAACATTAATTTGGTATTGTGTTGAATCAAGCAATTTTAAAGAAATGAGAACGTTTGTCAGAAACAAACCTCTGGTACATGGTGGGTCAGTRTTTTTAGATACCTGGAAATAGGTCCGTGCAAGTTACTTTGGAGGTCAGCACGGGCCAGTAAAACCATAACAGAGTAATAAAATTGCAGAACTTGGAGACTTGCAGCCTCAGGCTGAGCTGATGGCCAGGTTGGCCATCAACCCATCAGCTCATTGACTTGGGCTGCGTGTCCACCCCCAGGAGACGGCATCACCGGCCTCTTTGGTGCCACCAGGCACCACCAGCCCTGCTGCACCCTTGTCACCCTTCAGCGGGTGAAACCCACAGGGAAACAGACATCTGCTCTTCTCCMGACCGGTTACAAGTGTAGCCGTAGTTCCTTTACTGTTAGGACAGGGCTTGGAGCAGTGTGTYGTGTGGGTTGGGAGCACTGCTGGGTTTTGGTTTCTGTGGCTGGCATCAGGTTGTTCCATCCACCATGAGGGTGGCAGAGGTCTCCAAGGATCCAYCCGCTCGCTTCCGTCGAGGCATTTGGACCGGGAATTTGTTATCAGATGACGTGTTGTTGGACAAGAATAATTTTGTATGACTTTGTATGTATTGACTTTTCAGTATGTCAACGCTCCTCTGTCTAAGAGGAGAGGCCAGGGGAGGCTTTGCTGGCTCTGCTGRCTGGTCGGGCTTCCTGTCGTGAGGAGATGTTAATGTAGCACAAGCTTTAGAGAGTGACCTTCCCTTGCAGGGACCTTCTTGAGATGGGAACATACTCGCAGAAGGGAGGTTTTCCAGCACTGTTCACAGTGCACGTTCGCGTTAGCAGAGAAAAGGAGTTTGGCAGTTCTTTCTTGTGCTAATATCCCTTTGTAGTTGATGTTAGCTGCTTATGGACAAAAACAGGCGGAAACCATTTCCTTTAGAGCTTGATAAAGTGGTTTCTATTTGTAATAAGATGGATTTTCCTGGAGGGGGTCTCGTCTCGGAGCTGTTTTAACTGCCCAGAAACCATATTGCAGAGTTCATTTAAGATTCCAGGGATGTCCTTGAGCRTTTCTCTAGATTTCTGTTTAATGTTATTAAAACCATTTAATGTTATTAAAACCAATATTTTTAGTTGGAAAAGAGATTTTGCAAATTAAACTCACCAGAAGAATGAGGTTATTGTGTTGTTTGCTCTATTTTTCCCCTAGAATTGTGTTAATTGGTTACTCTMAGCATCCTGTACTGTATATTGTCAACTGCCTCAATACATTAGACTTATAAACTGACTTCACAAAAGCTGCCAAGCTCCAAGAGTGTTTTTATTATTTTATGAAATACTGGTTAATTAATCACGGGCTTTTCTTGTACTACCCTTCTACTGCCTTACAATGTTTAAATGGACTTTCTACAATATTTTAGAAAATAATTTATAGTGGCATTTTTAAGTTTATGAGGCAACAGAGAGAGAGAGAGAGAGAGATGTAAAACAGTAACTGTTTAACAAACCTTAAGTCTCACAATTTACATTTACATCCAGAAAGCAGAATTAAGCTGTTCTGATAGAACAGAAGGTGACTATAGGCACAGAAACTAGAGAGATTTAGGAGAGAGTCTAGTCTTCAGTCTGTTTGCCGATTGACGCTAGGTATTAATTTGCATTATTCTACAAAAAAAAAAAAAAAAGGAAAATTAGGTGCGTAAAGCATGTGGAAGAGCGAATAGGGATGCTAGACACTGGGGTTCCCTGGGCAGTTTGAAGTATAATGTAGTAGAGAGTGGTTTAAAAGACCGTTTTTGGCAGTGGCAGGCAGCAGAGAGCGCCTCTGTCTCGGGCTCCCCAGGTCATAGTCGAGCCTGTCAGCACAAATCCACTCCTCTGGCATTCAGAGCAAACACCCTAACTATGAAATGTGTTTTCTGAGGAAAGCGAACTTCTCTATATCTGCCATGGCAGAGAACAGAGAACACTTACCTCAAGCTGCATAAATATCCCACATCCACAGTCTGCCTGGCCCTTTCCCGATGGAGAATAGGTCCAATGGGATATTATGAGTGAGGAAAAGTGATTGCAGTGAAAGCTTACAGGCTGTTTTTTTTTTTTATCGTATTGAAAGGGAGGATTTTGAAGCACATCCTCCAAGGGGAGGCAGCAGCTGAGTTTGTGTTTGTGGCTTGTGGTTCTTGGAGGTACTGACCACAAGGAGAGGATGCGCAAGGAAGCTGGAGGCCGAGGAAATCTCTGTGAGAAACTGGCCCAAAGACTTTTTGCAGGGACAGCTAGAGGAGGGAGGAGGAGATCCTGGAGAAGTCTCTCCACAGTTCGTTCTTTCCCTAATCTCCCTGTATGTTCCCTGTAAACTGCCACAGTCTGCCTCRTTTTCCGCAGTAGTGGACAGGACTGGGTTTTCTGAGGATGCTTGTGATGTTTTTCTCCATGGTTCCAGTCATGCCCAAACCTCACTTGGGTGGGATCT